GGTTGCCACTCAAGAACTAGAGGACTGGAGTCACCCAGTGAAGAGATCTGTACAGATACCATCCATTGAAGATCTGTACAGGAACCAAGTTGTTAAGGGGTAGAATTGTGGTTGTTACATTTGTGTGTCAACTTGGCTTGGTCTGGTTGAGTGGCTAGGCAGCTGGATGTAGTATTCCCCATGATGAGACTGGTAATCAACTCCATGGTGGAATCTACTGTGAGCATCTGAGTAGCTGCCTTTGGGTATGTGGTCTGCTTCCCATATATAAGCAGCAGCTTTGAGAATAGTCTTTAGCATATAGCATGCTCGGACCCTGCATGTAGCCATGTCATTCTTCAGCAGCCTGCCATGCTCTGTCAACCGTGGGACTTACAATGGACTTGAATTAACAGACTGCGTGTGGTTTGGTAACATTGAGACTCTGCCTTTTTATTTGTCAACCTTGGACTTCCTCAGCCTTAGCAGCCAGCAGCTGTCTGAGCGAAGAAATGCCTCTAGCTCCAGCAGGACAGGAGCAGGAGGCAGAGCTGGACCCCAAGGTTGAGGGTCCTTCACCCAGCCCCTAGAGCCTGGCACTTTGAACTTGGAGTTAAAGCCTCCAAACTGTGAAAGAATAAACTCTTGTTTAGGACATCCAATTTGTGGTATATTCTTGTCAGTGTGGCACTTGGTAACCAGACAGTTTCCAAGGCTGTAAATCTTTAAAGAAATAAATTGCCTCATCTTCCTTCCATGGAGTTGCTGGTAAGTTAGAAACACTGACCTTCTGATTAACAGCCAACCCACTATATCACTAGAGCTCTTTATGTTCTCATCCAAAAAGTTCCTTGGATTTGCTAAGTCATTAATATCAGAAAGAAGGGCCATAGGGAATGCTAAAAAAACTCACTCTCATCAAGTCGATTGCAACTCATTATGACCCCTCCTTGGGTTTCTGAGGCAGTACCTCTATGGAAGTAGATTTCCCCATCTTCCTTCTGAGGATCAGCTGGTGGGTTTGAACCAGCAGCCTTATGGTTAACAGTCAAATTCCTTAGGCACTGTGCCATCAGAGCTCCCTAGTAAACATCATATTTTCTATACATGTCCCAATAGATAATAATCCTATATTAACAAATCTAGTTAATCAACTATTGCCTTGCTCAAGTTATTGTAATCTCTCTAAGCATCAAATCTTAAGTTGTTGTTAGGTGCCATTGAGTCATCTGTGACTCATATCTACTCTATGTACAGCAGAATGAAACACTGCCCAGTCCTGTGCCAGCCCCATGATTCCTGCTATACCTGAGCCCATCCTTTTAGCCATTGTGTCAATCCATCTTGCTGAGGGCCTTCCACTTTTGTTGACCCTCGACTTTACCAGAAATGATATCCTTCTACAGAGAATGGGCCCTTTTCACAACATGACCCAAGTAGGTAAGATGAAGTCTGACCATTCTCATTTCTAAGGACCATTCTGGCTGGACTTCTTCCAGGACAGATTTGTTAGTTCTTTTAGCAATCCATGATACTTTCAGCATTCTTTGCCAGCACCACCACTCAAAGGCATTGGCTCTTCTTTGGTCTTCCTTATTCACTGTCCAGCTCTCAAATGCATATGAAGCAATTGAAAATGCCATGACATGTGTCAGAAACACATTAGTGTTCAAGGTGATATCTTTGCTCTTCAGCATTTGAAAGCGGTCTTTTGCAGAAGATTTGCCCAGATATCAAATATGACATCTGATAACTTGACTGCTGCTGCTTCCATTGGTGTTGATTATAGAATCAAATAATATGAAGTCTTTCACAGCTTCAGTTTTTCCTCCATTTATCATGATGCTGCTTATTGATCCAGTTGTGAGGATTTTTGTATATTGAGGTGCAATCCATACTGCAGGCTATAGTCTTCAATCTTCATCAGTAAGTGCCTCAAGTCATCCTCACTTTCAGCAAGCAAAGTTGTGTCAGCATATAACAGGTTGTTAAAGAGTCTTCCTCCAATCCTACTCTCACATTCTTCTTCATACAATCCAGCTTCACAGATTATTTTCTCAGCATACAGATTGAATAGGAATGGTGAAAGGATACAACCCTGACTGTGTTAGATTG